CTTCCCAGCAAGGAGGTAAATCAGCAGCTCACCAACCAAAATGGTTGCTTCCTTCCAAATCTGGCAAGAATCTGCCTGTGGCCCACCCTACCGGGAAACCTAGCAGCGAGGGCGCTCTGGGAGAGGTAGTGCAGTGCAGCCAAACTGACACAGTACGAAGCCATCATGGTTCCCCACTACAGAATGGGTGCGTGTGAACTGCACCAGGGTCTCAGACACAGAGGTGCACGGGTCCCAGGCCGGGCAGGACAGCCTGTCCAACTGGAGGACACAGACCCCCCTGAAGAGGGGCAGTGACCACCCAGTCCTGCTGATGGTCTCCAGGCAGCAATGCAGCGGAATGTGGACAGAGCTTTCCACCTTCTCAGACCTATTAGGAGCACCTCCTGAAAGTTTTTGATTTCCCCTCCCGAGGCATGGAGGGGCGTGGGCCATCCAGGGAGGCCTGGCAGGAGGGTGCCCCGGCCGGCAGTGGTCCCACACGGGGCTCAGTCATCAGAGCCACCTCCTGAGAATTTTTTTTTTTAATTATTTCTTTCGGCTGCGTTGGGTCTTTGTTGCTGCACGCGGGCTTTCTCTAGTTGCGGTGAGCAGGGCCACTCTTCGTTGCGGTACGCGGGCTTCTCACTGTGGTGGCTTCTCTTGTTGCAGAGCACGGGCTCTAGGCATGCAGGCTTCAGTAGTTGTGGCGTGCAGGCTCAGCAGTTGTGGCTCGAGGGCTCTGGAGCGCAGGCTCAGTAGCTGTGGCGCACGGGCTTAGTTGCTCCGCAGCATGTGGGATCTTCCCAGACCAGGGCTTGAACCCGTGTCCCCTGCGTCGGCAGGTAGATTCTTAACCACTGTGCCACCATGGAAGTCCCTCCTGAGAATATTTTATGTGGAAACTATAAACTTCTTTTTGTGAAACCTCCCACTTTTAAAATGTGGGCTTAAAAAAGGAAATACTCCACCTCACACCCATTAGGATGACTACCATTAAAAAAAAAAAAAAGTGTTGGTGAGGGTGTGGAGAAATTGGAATTTTGTGCCCTGTTGGTGGGAAGGTAAGATGTTGCAGCTGTTGGAAAACGGTATGGAGGTGCCTCAATCAAACGTAGATTTGATCCAGCAATTTTACCTCTGGGGACACACCCAAAAGCACTGAAAACAGTGACTCAAAGAGAGATTCGCACACCCATGTTCATAGCAACGCTATTCACAACAGCCAAAAGGCGGAAGCAACCCAGGTGTCTGTCAATGGATGATGGATGAACAAAGCGTGGTCTCTACACACAATGGAATATTATTCAGTCTTAAAAGGAAGTTCTGACACTTGAGACAACACGGATGAACCTGGAAGACAGCGTGCTCAGTGAAATAAGCCAGTCACAAAGGGACAAGTATGATCCCACTTGTATGAGGTCCCTAGAGGAGTCAGCTTCACAGAGACAGGAAGTAGGATGGTGGGTGCCAGGGGCTGGCGGGGGATGGAGAGTTGGTGTTTAATGGGCTCAGAATTTCAGTTTTGCAAGATGAAAAGAGTTCTGCGGATGGATGGTGGTGATGGTTGTACAATAATGTGAATGTATTGTATTTAATACCACTGAACTGTACACTTAAAAATGGTTGAGATGGTAAATCTTACGTCCTGTGTATTTTACCACAACTAAAAATAAATAAACACTGTATGGCCCAAGCAAAACCACGTGTGACTCCGTGTGGCCTTCGGTCCCCACCTCTGCGATCACTCAACTTGATCTTCTGTGTGGGCTGTTCTGGCTGCGTCACGAGACAAGAAGCTTCGAATGGTGGTGTCCTGATGGATCCGGAGCCAAAGGACGCCACACAGTGGTGACAGCAGAGACCAGGCTGCCCGTGCTGAGGGCCTGCACCAGGGTGACCACCTCCTCCCACAGGGCTGCTCCTAGGACCCCAGAGCCTCGCACAGTGCACCCCGCACATATGTGCTTCCCTATTCTCACTCACCTCCTCTTGCCTCTCCCAGCTCCCGGCTTTCTTCTGGCTGCCTCCATCAGGGGCAAAAAGTGTGGCACTGGGGCCCTGCCCCAGCCTGGCTGCCCTATAAAACTTCTTGTGTTATTCAGTGTGATTATCCAACCCCTTTCACTGAAGCCCCAGCTCCTCCAAACAGTCCTTTAGCTTCCGCTGCCTGCTGGGAGTGTTGCCTGTGGAGCCTGCAGCATGCCTCTCTTCCCTGGAGCCCCGGGACGCAAGGGGGACCCTCACCCATCACCACATGAGGGACACCATGACAAGAGGTAGGTTCTCGGTCTCCAACAACCAGCGCCTGTGGCTGTGGGATCCTGGGAGTTCAACTGTGAGCACCTACTCTCCTGATTCAGAGATGGGCAAACCAAGTCTCAGAGAGGGCCAAGGACTTGGTAAGTTTTGTATGTACTAGGGACCCTTCCATACAGCCCAAGCCAAAGCTCCTTTCCCCAAGGAATGAGGTTCCACACCTCCCATCGCGGACTGCTCCTCATTCTGGCTAAGAAGAGGTAGAGAGTCTGAGTCCACGCATTACCCTCTCTGGTTCCCACCACCCACCTACCCTCTGGGCTCTCCTGGCAGCAAGCAGGGTCTTGTCCAAACTCTCCAAACTGAGACACCGTTCCCAGGCCAGGAGCCCCTCAGATCTGCCCTCAACTTACCTATGCCAAGCTGTGTGCTGTGCGCCAAGCCCTCCCTTGCCTGCGTCTGTTCTGCTTGCTTCTATACAAAGCAGGACTGTGCTTCAGGTACACAAGCTTTGCAACAAGAGATGGATCCAGAGGGACCGCAGACAGCAGCGGGGGAGACACCGGTCTACTAGAATCTGGAGTCTAGGGGACCCTCTGCCTGCTCTAAGGCTTCAGAGCAGGAAACGGTCCCCTAAGGCCTGGAGCAAGCCTGGTCGTCGTGCAGGTAGGGTGGGGTGAGGAGGGCCTGCCAGCTGGGACCCCAGCTGAGAGGCCAGACAGCCTCATTCAAGAGCTGTACCTCCTGCCCTGAGAACAGTTAGGGTCCTGGTCTACTAGATCACACCATTAAAGGAGACCCAACGCAGCCAAAAATAAAAAATGAATAATTAAAAAAAAAGAAGGGCAGGACAGGATGCTATGCTGCTCTAACAAGCAGGAGTAAGTATTGGCAAAAGGTGGGAAAATGGTAATCACATGCCCCTGAAACTAGTGAAAATTTGGAGAGCAACTTGGCAATACCTAGTAAAGCTGATGACTCAGATAGGGGGAAAAAACTGCCGAAGGAAATGCCCAAGATGATACCATTTATGTAAACCTGAATATCACAAAACAATGTTTTGATACAAGAATGTGCTTTTAACATATTTATGTCAAAGTATAAAAACCTGAATGAAAAGGCCACAGGCTCCTGAGAACACTCTACTCTGCCTGGTAAACGACCCCACCAAACTGAACCTTGAAAAAGAGTGGGGAAAAGCGGGGAGAAACAAAGGGAATTTTACTTTTGCCGCTCATTAAACTTGAAGCAAATACGACAAAAGTCGTTAACAGTCAACATTCTGGTAGTAAGGTATCTGTAAGATCTCTTACTTCAACCTCGTGCCAAAGAGCCCAGAGAAGCCCCGGGAAAGCGCCCCGCGCCCCTCTCGCCGAGGCTGCTCTCCAAACCCCACCCGCCACTCCGCCGCCGCCGCCGCCCCCCGGAAGAAGAATTTGGAGGCCTAGGGTCTGGGGCGGGGATCCCGCCCGCCGGCGTCGCTCGCCCCCATTGGCAGGAACAGCGCCGGGGCCCCGCTCTGATTGGTAAGGTTGCGATCCCTGATTTGCATAGGCCCGGCGGCGGCGTGCGCGCGTCAGCCTACGCGCGGAAGCGCCACATCCATCCCGCCGCCAGGTCCGCGTTTGGCGGGTTCCGTCTCCCGGACGCGGGGGGGAGGGGGCGTGCGGATGCCGGGGGGGAGGGGGGGTGCCCGGCGCGGCCCTCCTGGAGGCTGTCCCCGGATCCCTGGGAAGGCCCCTCGGCCTCGGCGTCCCCACCGTGGGCGGCCCGCTCCTCGCCCCCCGAGGCGTGGCATCCGGTTAAGCCTGGACGGCTGCGCGCGCATTAGTGCGCAGCTACATTATAGGAGCCTTTGCAGCCCTCCTGTTCACGTGGGCCGAAAGCGGTCCGTACCTTCACGGACCCAGTCATCTGGGTGGGGAGGCGTACAGTCACAACCACCCAAACATCTAATTACAGAGTGGTGCCTGGGACGAGCCTGCAGAACAAACCGCGGGGGCGCTGACCAGGCTGGGGCGGATGGCCCCCAAACCCGTGTCACCCTCCGTGCCCTGCTCCACCCAGGGGCCGCGAATCTGGGCAGGGCTCGCACCCAGATCCTGCACTCCCCATGCAGGGGTCTTGGCCTCTGCAACCCCTCGTGTTTGGCAGGCACTGGCTGGTTTTAAGCTAAAAGATTCGGGCAACTTCCAAGTGTTAAGAGTGAACAGAGACTCAATAAAGAGTGCCCCATCAAGTCTTTTTGTTTCCAGAGAGGCAGTTTTGTCCACAAAAACCCCAGTGCCCCACATTGTGACAAAACCATTCCCTAGGACTATGCCAGGAGAAAACAGTGAGATCCCGAGTTCCTCCCACCAGCAGCATTTTCTGAAATGTAAACAGTTTATCAAACACTTTATTCAGAAAAAAATACAATGTTTTAAGAACTTAATTCTAAAGCACTGAAAGAGCCCGAAGGCTAAACAGAAAACAGCCTCTGCTAAGCAGTACCAGGTCACGCTGGGAACTGCCAGCAGGGTCAGACTCTGAGGGAAGGTCCCTAGGCTACCAGGAGAGAGCTGTGGGCACAAGGGCCCCCCGCCCCCCACCATGAGTTGATGGTGGTACCTCTCCCTTTTCCCAGGCTGCCCACCCACCCCACTGGGGGTTCCCCGGTCACAGTCAGGGCACCCCTCCCCCAAGAAGCCACAACTGTTAACACCGTGCTACCTCCTCCAAGGAACACCCCCCCCCCCAACCTGTCATCACCATGGTATTCAGTGCAGCAGGCCTTGGCCTTGGCCTCTGTAAGTCCTGTGCTACTGGGTGTGAGGCTGCTTGGCCACAGGCTCCTCCTCCTTCTCCCGCTTCAGCCATCGCTCCAGGAGGTCAGCGCCTCTCCTGCGGGAGAACGGGCTCTTCTGACTGGACCACTGGGGCACATCTGACTCTGCCTTTTGGGGTGCTTTGGTGTCTTCCTTTTTGGGTGACTTTGTGGCCAGCCATTGCAACATCTTCTGGCTGCTGCCACTTGCCTTGAGCTCCTAGGAGAAAGAAGGAAAAGCTCAAACCACCAGCTCAAGCTTGTGGAAACAGGCCAATTCCAAGGGAAGAAAGACGGGAAGAGGCATTAGGTATTGACCTAGGCTTGGAAAATGTCACCAAGGGCCAGATAGGGCCCCTAATCAGGAGTGGGACGAGAGGAGCAGAGTGCGTTCCAAGGGCTGCAAGGAGTAGGGAGCAGCTCTCAGAGGAGGCTTCCCAGAGGTGTGTGGGACCAGCCAGAGAAGAGAGCTGCTGGGCACTCCAAACACGAGCAGACAATGAAGCAGTGTCAGGGAAAAGTGTGTGCTTCAGCAGGACCAGGCAGTGTGGTGTGGGGAGGAGAGCCGCAGGGCGGGAGTCAGCCGGGGGCCGGAGCGCAGCTCTCTCCCGCGGCACCGCCCTCCACACAGCCCCCCACCAGCCCCGCTCCCTCCGCTTCCTCTACACCTTCGCCAACCCCAGACTGAAGCTTCTGAGTTCACAAGATGCCACCTCTCCAGAATGTGAATTCTTTTTTTTTTTTTTTGAATTCTTCTGGAGGAAAGACCATGGCAGAAATGGGGCAGTGTCTAGTGCAAAACGAATACATACAATGACATTTTTAGAGACGGGTAATGAAAAAAAGTGTCAGGGGTGCAGGAGTTTGACAGAACTGAGAGAAAAAAGATGACACTGACAGTGAGTATGAAAACTTAATAAACTTAGAAAAGTGGGGAAGGGGGCAGCTGTTCTAGCCATCACTGTCCTCCACACTTCTCAGGCACCCTAAGACGCCTACTTTAGAACACTCAGATCCATGTCTTACTCCAGGTCCCTCTATGCCACCTACAAACAGTTGCTACTCCTAAACCTTCACCCCGGGTATCGGCAGGGGCCAGCTTCTGCTCTGGAACTTCCTTCTCACTGAGGCCTCTTGCCTGTTCACCTTCCCTTCTAAATACATCATCTGGATCCCTGCCAATTCTAAGAAGTTAAAGTTCACGGCAGGAATGTTCTCAGATCCCCCTGAAGGAGAGCGACGATTGGAATTCCTCCATCTTGTAGCTGGGAAAAGAGGTGCAGAAAACAGACATAAATCACACATCTGGTTGGCGAGAGATACAGTTATGGTTGAGGGCTCCTTTGTCCTTCTCACAATCACCCTCTAGATTAGGAATCCTCAAACTTGGGTTATTATCAGACCCACCAAGGCAGCTTCTTAAAGATACAGAAGCCCAAGCCCAGCCCTGAATACTGAAGCAGTAGGTCCAGACAGAGGCTGGCATTTACATTTTGAAACAGGTCTCCTGAGGACTCCCGGGTCACAGCCAGCTTTGAGAGTCACTGCTCTGGTCTACCTTGCCGTGCATGAGGAAGGTGAATTTGGGGTGGTTTGTATTCAATCTCTGGTTGTGAAAGGTCATGGCATAAAATTAACAGGTCACACTGACAGAAGACAGAAAGCTCAGAAAGAACTATCGTAGTCATAGGCCCTACCTTTTTGACCAGCGAGTCAACAGGAAGCAGACACTCAGGAGTGTTGTTTCGGGAGTTGTTCACCACGGAAGAGACTGGATGGAAGGTGATGTTCTCTGTGGGGTGAATTAACTTCAGAGCTTCTTGAGCTGAGACCTCCCCAAAGTCCAGCCACTTAGAGACTGCCTCCTCTCCATCTAATATGGCAGGCATCCTAGCCCGCGAGGTGAAGACAGTGGTTGGGAGCCGCGGGTGGGGGGTGGGGGGGCGGGGAGAAAGGCCCGGTCAGCTGAAGCGCAAACTGCCCCAAGCAGCAGCTCACCCTCTCTCCGCGCCTCACGTGCCAGTTGCTGCCCGGTGTCCCCCCCCACCCCCCCACCCACAGGGCACAAAACTCAACACCAGGAGACCCAGCTTAACAGAGTCAGATGGCAAAGACAGTGCCCCGTGCTATGAGTGGATCCACTCCAGTGTACACGCTAGCAAACTGGTGACCTTTACGACACTCCAGCCTAGACTTAAAGGGAAAATAAACCCTGGAAAACTTGTCTCTCAACAATACTCTCCAGCCTTATCACCCATGGAAAATTTATCTAAGAAAGAGCTATTTATATAATTGTGAACAAAAGGAAACTATGGCTCAGAAAAGCAAAGAGCCTGCCTCAGATGACTCCTGGTACCCAGCAGATGTTAGGAAAAGATCCCTTGTTTAGCCCCCAATTTTAGGCCAATGCAAAGAATGTACACACTTCATTGGTGGGTGGTACAGATAGGAGATAAATGCGTTAACATCTATTTTAATAATTATTATTACTTCAACAAGTCAAACATTTTATTTTATTTTAATTTAATTTATTTTTTTGGCCGCACTGCATGGCTTTATGGGATTCTTAGTTCCCCGACCAGAGATCGAATCCAGGCCCTCAGCAGTGGAAGCACGGAGTCCTAACCACTGGATCGCCAGGGAATTCCTCTAAACATGTACTTTTAAAAAGTATTTTAAGGGACTTCCCTGGTGGTGCAGTGGTTGGGACTCCAAGCTCCCAATGCAGGGGGCCCAGGTTCCATCCCTGATCAGGGAACTAGATCTCACACACGTGCCGCAACTGAGAGTTTGCATGCCACAACTAAGAAGCCCACATGCTACAACTAAGGAGCCCGCCTGCCACAACTAAGACCTGGGGCAACCAAATAAATTTAAATAAATCAATAAATATTAAAAAAAAGGGTATTTTAAGATCTTTTAAATTCAGATGCATTTTATGATGAATGGCATCTCTACACTATCACAGTTTAATTGGCAGCACTTTATTTTTCTTAACAATGTATAAAATAGTGGTACAAAATCTTAGATCAGATGAAATAGGAATTTAAGGTGAATTAGCAAAAACTAGAACTATTATATCCCATGAAAAAAGCATCATTTCAGACAGAACGCTTAGGACAAGAGGGCTAAAACAGGTAATCCAGTATGTGCAGCACTGCATTCTTTTCAGCAAAAAATCATAAAATTACTTCTGAGGACACTCAGATCTGGCAAAAACTGTGAAAATGTTACACTAGTCAGTTCTGCTAACGTTTTTTACTTTATTAAATATCTTTTAAAATATTTATTTATTTGGCTGCGTTGTGTCTTAGTTGCAGCACACAGGATCTTTGTTGCCTTGTGCGGGATCTTCGCTGCAGCATGTGAACTCTTAGTTGCGGCATGCATGTGGGACCTAGTTCCCTGACCAGGTATCGAACCCAGGCCCCCTGCATCGGGAGCACAGAGTCTTAGCCACTGGACCACCAGCGAGGTCCCATAACGCTTGTTTTTAAAATGAAAATCTGTTCCAATGTGATTGATCTATTATTTTTTTAGAACATAATGCAAATTTTGCCTTTGCTTATATACGGTTTTGTCTGTGAGAAACACAAAGTGAACACAGAAAACTGCACCCTGCTGAACTGAGCCTTGTAAGAGTACACAAAATGCACACATCTCAAACACTGACGGCTACCTTGGCTCACTGCATATTATCCTCTGAAGTGCTCTGCTCTTACTTTGCATTTGTAAACTTTTCTCTATATTAAAAAAACTATTCGTTCAACATCTGAAACACGTCTAAGCTTCCTGGCTCAAACACGCTAAGCAGTGCATGCAAACAGAAAACTTGTAAATCTTGACGAGAAGCTTGAAATAATAATAAAGCGTCTTGAAAGCAAGAAGAGAACATGTGACATCTCCTGAGCAAGAGACATAAAGGATCCACAACAGTAACAGGGCTGGGAAAAAAGGAACATCCACGGCTGGAACAATTGCAAAAAGTGTTATAAAGTCAATACCAGCCAGGTCTGAAGGAATAGAAGCAATGGCAAGATTTAGTACATGGACTGAAAGCCGAACAGTTAAAAAACTGGAAGCTTTCTCACAAAGAGAATGCCCTCTCTATACACAAAGACCACAAAAACACCACAGAGGTGGCTCCTCTTAGCGCCAGTAATGGCTGTTTTGGTGGCCTCAAACACTGCTGCAATTTCCAGAGCTCTCAGCTGTTGGGAGAAGACATGAGCACAGATGAAGATGTTGCTAAGCAATTTCCACTAGTGATACTGAGGTTAATTGGAGGAGGCCATACATTGCACCAAAATGTTCAGTTTTGATTAAATACGTATCTATTATAAAGGCACGCCTCGAAGGAACAACGTTTCAAAGGCAGAAGAACATGCCCCAGGATTTAAGACTGCACAGCAACACAAGCTGCAACTCTTCCGACGCTCACTTCCACAAGTCAGTTTCAGGTCTTTCTAAGGTAAAATGCCATATTTATTGTAATATCTATGTACTTCTTAACCACTGAATGCATGGAACGATAGTACTGTTTTTACTAGATTCCTATTTTCTTTTTGTTTGGCTGTGTCACTGACGAAATGTTTCAGTGTAGTCCCCTCAGTCCCGCGCTCCCCGTAAGTCCTGTGGTTCTCATAGTGCAATTCTGCATACCGTGGTGACTGTTAGGAACGCACGTCACGTTACAGCCAAACTGACTGTATTTTGTGAAGCAACTGTCTCAGTTTCCTACTCTCTAAATCTGTGCGTACAGAAGCTGCCTATCTAAAAGCAAAGAGGACAAACCCTGCCCTGAATCCTTTTGGACCCAGGCATGAGAAGTGTGACTTGCCGGTGGTGGATGTCATTCAAGCCTTTGCAGGAATCCACTGTGATGATGGTATAAGAATACAGGCAGTCTCCTCCCTCCGGGGGCTCCCAGCAGTCAAAGAGCCCGGCCATTGTCAGCGGCCTCCAGTTGTCCCAGACTTTCTCCCAGTCCTCAGGGCCATCTGCAGCACCCATGCTCTCTGACTGGAAGCAAAATCCATGGTAGATTAGATACTCAGCAGCCACCCTCTCCCCTGCAGGTTGGGTACTATTACAGACTTGAGAGCACGGCAATCATTTTAGAAGTAATTCAGCCCATGCCTTTAGCATGGGTCCTCTTGATCCACTGTCGCGGAAGGAAAGAGGCTTGGTGGCAGATACTCACTGAAGCAATAGATTTATGGCTCCTTAATGCTTTCACAACACAGTTTAACACCTTCAGTGGATATTCCAGCCTTCCATGATCTGGATCATGATTCCGGCCTTCAATTACAATGTTAATTTGAATTAAGCCCAGCTATTTCTAAATGATGATGCTCTCATGCAATTTCATGCCCCTGTATCTCGCAGAAGCAACTTTCCTCTGCCCCAAAGGTCTTTCCTTCCCTTTTTCATCATGCCAACTCCTACTTGCCGTTTAAGATTCAGTTCAAGGCCTAGAATACAGAAAGCT